GAGTCTTCGGCTGGCGGGGATCGAACACACGACCTCTTGGACATGTGCCACCGTAGCTAAACTAAAGGCCGGTCGCACACTGAGGAGGCATAGAATACAAACTTTGACGAACAATTCTGTGAACCAGAAATTGTTCTTAAAAAACTGTCAAGAAATGAACACTGTTAAGAAATTAGCAATCAGTTTCGAGAATAAATAAACCGTTCTTTTTTCTTTTAAAGGGAAGAAAAAAAGAGAAGGTGTTTATTTTCTCATTTTTAAAAGTGATTTTCTTCCTAAAATTGTTTAGAAATTTTTCTTAAACATTTTAATTTAATTAATGAAAATAGCTTTTCGTCATCTGAGAATGAAAAAAAACTTTTTACCAGTTAATCTAGACTTTATTAATATATATGGGGCAATCCATACAAAATTTACACCTATGATACAAAAATGATATAATTTTTTTTTTATTGCTCTTTATTGAAAATAAATCGACACGTATTTTTGCGTTTTTGTTTAAATTGCATATTTTTGACTATACGAATTTTTGAAAATTTCTCTTTTTTGAGCACCCGACTTTGCAAGTTATTTTTTAACGTATTGCCATCCAACAACAAAAGTATTTAAATACACTTTCTTGAAGTGATTTTTCTCAAACTTTAAGAAAATCAACATTAAAATATAAAATTTTTTGTTTTTGACATAAAAAAATTCATTTTTTGAAAAAAACAACTTTTTTTTGCAATTTGGACATCTTTGATTTTTTTTATATTTTGACAGTGTGAAGTATAATCAATAATGATATTAATTCCAAATTTTTGGAATGGTAAGACACTTTGTTCGAAAGATATAAACAAAACAGTGACGCTGCGCACTCCGCGTATGTATGTAGAATATGGATCGACTGTTCTCGAACTCATCCGCTACCTACTAAACTAGAGCACGGTGTGCGCGCCGTCACTGTTTTGTTTATATCTTTCGAACAAAGTGTCTTACCATTCCAAAAATTTGGAATTAATATCATTATTGATTATACTTCACACTGTCAAAATATAAAAAAAATCAAAGATGCCCAAATTGCAAAAAAATGTTGTTTTTTTCAAAAAATGAATTTTTTTATGTCAAAAACAAAAAATTTTATATTTTAATGTTGATTTTCTTTAAGTTTGAGAAAAATCACTTCAAGAAAGTGTATTTAAATATTTTTGTTGTTGGATGGCAATACGTTAAAAAATAACTTGCAAAGTCGTGTGCTCAAAAAAGCGAAATTTTCAAAAATTCGTATAGTCAAAAATATGCAATTTAAACAAAAACGCAAAAATACGTGTCGATTTATTTTCAATAAAGAACAATAAAAAAAAAAAATTATATCATTTTTGTATCATAGGTGTAAATTTTGTATGGATTGCCCCATATATATGCTAGTAAAAAAAACGTCTTTTGACTTCATTTTACACAAATATCTGGTGAATCTACGCCTTCGGTGAGGAGGCGTACACTTCTTCAATGTGCAGTCATTTTTCAGCTCACCCCCTGAGAACCCGTTTGGTGGAGAGGCGAGGGTCAAACTGGGGGGTTTTCACCTCCCTCTCGCTTCCTTAGTGTGCGGCCGGCCCTTTGAAATGTACTACTTCCTGCCTCCGTGTTGAATTTTGGAAAGTATGGAAGTTTGATAATTGATATCACTGATTGGTTGAGGGGAAAAAGAGGGCGTTGTTTTGAAGTTGAGATGTCTGTATGCAATTTAAAGATCACTTAATCGTTTTATGTTATCTGACGTTTTTGTTAGCGAACTACTTGAATCAGCAGCAATTATATAGTTTTCTGGAAACTTATATACTTATTTGATTGTTTTCTTTAGTACGATTTTAGCATCTAGTAAAAATTTTACTGAATAAGTAAGATTTTCATTTGTAATTGTAAGTATTAATTTTTTTTTTTTTTTAACAATCTTTATATCTGCGTATTATATTTTTCGCATAATCTTTATGTTTTCATGAAAAATATTTTATTTCTTTCTAAGAATACAAATGTTTATGATTGTATATTATAAATGTTTATTAGTTGCGTTTAGAGTTAAGCTTCAATAGAAAAAAAAATTGATTCAAGTTTTCAACTATTTATATATATTCCGTATTAAATTTTTTAAAAAAACTAGCAGATTTATAATCTTTATAATTTACAATAAGTTATTTAACTATTCAATACTTTCAAAAAATAGAATAAGGAATACTAAAAATAATTAATGTTGAGGAGGAAGAACAGGCGAAAAATTAGTGCTGGAACAGATGTTCCGGTTAGGTAATCAGCTGAACGCGGTCCCAGTCCGAGGATCGAACCCAGGACCTGTGGTACGGGAGCGCAAAACGCTACCACTCAGCCACCGCACGTCTTATTATAATAATAATAAAAATGTGAAATTAAGTCCGCCTGCAAAAAAAGACCTTTTTGTGCATATTTTTATATAATTACAATATGCATACAAATGCATTTCAAAATTTATAACACACTCTTTCCTCTGATCTTTCTGTTTCGACAAATTATGCATCATATATATATATATATTATCGCTTTATAGATTTCTTTTTGTGTTTTATTCTGTTTTTTCTTTAAATTTTATTTTCTGTTTTTACGTGATATTTATGTGTTTTCTTTTAATTATTTGTTGTAAACTCTTTTTTTTAGTGCTCCTTACACTGTTGTATTGATATATTTTGCTTTAGCTATATTGATATAATATTAGAAAGCACTCCTTTTTGAGGACATAATCGTGTGAGTTGATGAAAAGATTATAGCTTTTATTTTCTGGATGTTTATTTTTTTCCGGGTTTTTATTATTAATTTTTTTTTTACCCTTTTTTCTGTTACTATTTTATATGTTTTTTACTGTTTTCATTCTACTTTTTCCCTACAACTATATATATATATATATATATATATTCAAAATTTAAAAAATAATGAGAAGAAAACGATTTTCCGAAATGATTATTAAAACTTAATTTTTCTTTAAATTTATCTTTGTATCATTTTAGCAATTGCCTAAACTTATATTTAATTTAAAATTGTATTTTAGTTGAAAACAATTCTTAAGCTGTTTTCATTTAAAATTTCAGAAATGTAAAAAAAATTACAAAATATTGTAAAAATTTTAATAAAATAAGCAAACATTACTGCAACATCTCTAAATAATATTAGTTGAACTAAATCAAATGAATTTGGTTATTGTATTGAAAAGTAATTACATAAATGATAAATGCATTTTAATTTTTGCAAAATCATAAAATCAGTAGTTTTACTGTGCTAGAATGTTTTTTTTACGCTTCAGTTTTTAAATGTTAAAGTGCACATTCTCGGAGACAGAATAGGTCGTTTACTAATTTACATTTGCAGTATGAATTCATTTTCATTTTGATTTTTCTTAATGTGCCACATTCTTATTATTTTTCTATTTTGCTCAGTTTTATCGATCCAGTATGATGATCAATACATATAATCCTGTATATGATTTTTAAGTAAATTCTCATAATTAATATTATAAATTTTTGTAAAAATTTTATATAAATTTTTTTAATAATTCTATAATGTAATTATTAATTTAAAAAAGCAGATTGTGCAATTCTATGAAAAGCATATTTAAAATTGCACGTGTAAAATTTTGTTTGGGGTTATTATGCTTTTATCATTATTTTAAAGTTTTTAAGTTTTTCTTTCTGTGCATATCATTATGATTTTGTTATTTTTATTTTAAAGTGCTTAAAAATATTTTTTGTTGGAAAGTTTGGCCACACAGCCTGTGTACTATTACCTTATTTTCTTATCTATCCTCGTTTATCGGTCATTACAGTTACCGAAATAATTTTTAATCCATCTTATTTTATTATAAGTTGTCACTAAAAATTCATACCTTTACCAGTGCTCCCCTATGCACTTTAAAAAATGCGGTCCACCCTGCTCCATCCAGGTAAATGCTCCCTCATTCCCCTTTTTGAAAAAAAATAGGGTGTCATCCCCCAAAAACACTTTTCTTTTTTTTAACATTCCATTTTTAAGAAAATTTAATTAACCGTTAAAATAATAATTACGCAGAAAAATTATTCGGTTTATTCTAAGTTTTAGTATTCGGTAGGTTTAACTCTGATTGCTATTACAAATATTTAAAATGTTAGGATTATTTTCAATTGGTTAAATTTTTATAACATTCTTCTTTTTCCTCATAGCGGTATATTAATAAATTTTTTAAGTGATTTAAAAATTTTTTTAAATACAAACCTGTTTTTTTTTTCAAAACAAAAATTCACTTTCGCTGGCGTTTATTTTCTAATAATCTTCGGCATAAAATAAAGAAAACGTTTTTTAAGCTGTTGATCAAAAAATAATTTTTTATTTAGTTTACTTTCTTTTGGAAAAAAAAACTGTATCCACTGAAATTGTCTCATAGCATGCATTTAATTAATAATTATGAACAACAAATTTTCTCGCATTTAGATAATGAGTGAAAATTACTTTTTTAAATGTAGACATAAAATATATAATGACGATATTTAAAAATTGTAGTTAAAAACTATGTACAGATTTAATTACATATATATTATATCTAATTATATATATATAATATAATATAATATAATATATTTATAATAGTGTAATAGAAATAATGTTAAATTAAATTTCTAAAAAGCCTTAACTACTTGAATTCTCATATAACTGTGAAAACGTTCACTACTATTATGGCTCTACCTTAGTAAAGTGTCTAGCTACGCCTTTGTCTACTCTAGCTAGTCAGAAAGCAGAGTTGCGTTTTCTATTTCATCATCAAAGACTGAAAAACGAGTTAATAAAAATAGACTTAAATTTTTTTTTATTATGAAGCAAACGATCGCTATATAAAATTTAAAAAATTGAAACCATCCTTAAAAAGAAATCATTTATGACCTTCCTGATTTTTTGAACTGTAATAAGATGTTATGTGAATAAAATTTAGATTGAATGTATTTTTTTCTTCTTTTAGCATCTGAAATAAAGATGGCGAGAAGAAAGATGGCGCCAAATAAGAGAGAAAGAGTAAGTTGTGGTTTGTTTTTATGAAAATAATCAGTGCCGGATTAAGCTTACCTTAGGCCAGTCAAATTTTTAGGGTCGATTAATTTTTTTTCCCTCTTATATTTTTTATTTATTCAAATATGAAAGTATTTATATATCTTTTCAATTAAGAAAGCATATTTAAATAAAAATAAATAATAATAAATCAAATTTTACTTTATTTTGTTAAATTAAAACTAAAAAATAATCATAAAATTTTGAAAAAAATTTGAAATTTATTAACACTTCACAAAATTAACCCTACTATAAAATTGGTATCAAAAATCTTTTTTTCTGCTCTTGTGATCAATAAACTCATCTGTAATGTTAACAAAATTAATTACACGGAGAACATCTGATTCGATGAGCAGCGAACTTTTTTCGCGCTCAAATCAAAATGACAAATTTGAAACTTAAAAAACATTGATAAATCTTATAATACATAAACTATAATAATACTTATAAATAATAACTAAAATAAGTAATAAATAAATATGATTAACATTATGTAAAAAAATTATCGTATTTTATTAATATATTGAAATCGATTTTTTTTTAAATCATTGTTTTTCTTAATTTTTTTAAATTTATTTTCAAAAAAATCTATTTTAAGGGGGCCGCTAATCATTGTGGGCCCTAGGCCATGGCCTAGTCTGGCCTAATGGGTAATCCAGCACTGAATATAATAGACATGATGTTTGTATCTACATGGTGCGCAACGTTTTTAAAAAGTGCTTAAAGTTCCTTAATTTCGATTATCGTTTTTAAAAACCTTAAAAGTGTTTTTTTTTTCATCGAGTGTTTTTAAAAAGTGCATAATTTTCTCTTTTTGGAAATGAGATTTTTTTCTTTGAAATGTCGATTTTCTCCACATATTGTGCTTAAGTGTACTTTTCACATTGTTCTATACAACGTTTTCACAATTCATTGAACCGCAATCTATTTGGGCGACTCGTAGGTCCATAGCGTATGAAAGCGCCTTTCATTTTACATGTTTGATGAAATACTTGCCACTCCACATGTGCGTCCACTGAGCTGGAGTTCGGTGAGACTCTTGCACTCTCATGTGCAACTCTGTTGCATTTTGCAGGATTTTCTCACTTTCGGGTTTCATTTTCCAACCTCTGATATCGAACAGAAAAACCTCTTGATCTTTTTTATAAGAGCTAAAATAATCAAGAAAAGAGCTCTTTGTCAAAAACTAGTTATTTTATCATGATCATGTTAAGTCTGACAAAATTCAAGTACTTTGTCAATGTATATAGTGCTTAAAAATTTTTTTGAGTGCTTAAAAAGTACGTAAAAGGGGCTTATTTTTGATTGAAAGATTTGCCTACTCACCCTGTTACAATAAATAAAAGTTTTGCGCTTGTAATTAGAGCATTTTTTTAATTGCATGCTTTGCCTTACTACATTAAGCATATTTTTTCTATTTTTAATTTATTATTTATTTTGTGTTAGTGTTAAAGTTCTGACATATCTGTAAATTTAACTATATGATTAGTTTTGGGTATTGCCAAAAGATATCAAAAAAGGAGATAGCTTACCTCCACCAAAAGAATTAAATAAATAAATGAATTTTAAAAAAAAGAAAGAAATTAGTCTGCTGATCATCAAACAAAACGCTAACAGACGTTTTAACTGAATTCCATCTTTATAAACCTAAAATAATGTGGAACATAGGATGAGAATTCATCCTGAAAAGGGATGAGTAAATAAATAAAAAAAAATTATACTAAAATACAAAATAAATCATACTCAAATATAAACTTTAATAATTCAAATAGTGATTGAAAAGTATTAAGTAGAAAAAAATTTTAAATTGTTTTTGTATTAAAAAGTTTTTTTTTAATTTTTTGATTTTCTTATTTCCTTGCTTCAACTCACACGTGTACGTGTGTTAAACTATTAATGAAATATTCTCAGACAATTACAAATCATAAACTTAAGCAAAAGTTAGAGGCAATAGAAATAAATTTATACAATTTTTCGCGAAATTATTATCATTGTTTACAGAAAATAATATCTATTTGGATGGTGAATGTTAGATTGAAAAAGATACGTCAAAACAAAAATTTTCTTTGATGCGATCTAACATATGTTTCATTATTCTTCTATAATTTTTTTTATAGTTAATTATCATTTTTTTTATAACTTTTTATTATGATAATATCAGTTTTTATCACATTTAATTATACTATATTATGACTTTATAAGTTGCCTACGTTTTTAGAAATTATATTTTTAGAAGAATTTTTTAATTTTTATAATTATAATATGTCATATATTTTACGTTCAATATAGTAAGCAGCTGTAGCACCGATTATTAAAACTAAGTATCTTTAATTAATTGTTTTCCAACATTAATTCTACACACGTAAATGAAAATTTATATATTTCTTGGTGTTCTAATTTGAAACGAATTAATTGCAACACATAAGTTGATACCTTTTATCTTGTAAAACCTATTAATTAATTACATTTTTAGTTAATGTAAGTAAATAATTAGAATGTTTATTCTGGATATTTCACCATCAAACTAAAAAAAGGGGATAATATATAAGGAAGCGAACCTCATTTATAAAAATCAATTCAAAACTTTTTTTGTTCTAAAATATGCAGTTTATTTTTATTCAGAACTTTCTTTTTAAGTAAATTAAAAAAAAATATTTTAACTATCTTTAATGAATTAAATGTACTCTATGTAATTAAATGTATGTAACTAAAATCATAACTGGAAAATATTGCAGTTTTTCTATTTTGATGAATAAAAAAATCCCTAAAATTCCTTACGTGTAAATATTTAGTACATTATGCAGTAATTATCACGAAATTTATGTTATTTTGTAAAATTTATTGGATTTTTTCCTATTAATGTTGGTAGCTAAGCTTGCTATATCGCGGTTGAAATTCATTTCGTGATAAATGGATCAAAATTCATAGTCATTAAAAAAAAAAAAAAAAAAAAAAAAAAAAAAAAAAAAAAAAGATCATTGTTTAGGCCTATAGTTTGAGAGCGTTCCAGTATAGTTAATCATCAATGTATATAAATCGCTAAAATTCGTCATTTGTTGTTTTCATTGAAATGAAAACCAAAAAGAGATTTGGAAGTCTGAAATTTAAATTTAAAACAAAACCCTATTAATCCCTCATATTTTTTATATTTGGAAAGCGGTTATAAAAGAGACATGTTTTGTTTTTCTTTTAATTTGGCTTGATTTATTAATTAATTTTTTTTAACTATAAAGTTCTACAGAAATAGCTGCAAACTTGGGTTCAAAACCCTCAGAAACCCGGGAATCTCCAACATCAGAACATATTCTCATTAGTTGAATCAAAATAAAGAGATTTCGGCATCGTGATCAGTGTCAGAATAATGGCAACTTCCGGGCAGCAGCCGGCGAGAAACTGGGGGGGAAGGGGCAACTCGTAACCAGCCACCTCCCGGCAATTATCCCCGTGTTTTTTTTTGTTTTTTTTTTTAAATTTACAAGTTTAAAATCTATTTATTCGGAGATGATTGTGCTCCGGAAAAAATCCGGATATCCGGATCCTCACAGCGATCCAGATTCAATAAAACATCGATCACATTTATGTATAAAAATTCTTGTATATTTTATTTCAAAATATTAGAACTAGAATTCATGCTTCTCTTTTATTTGTAAACATTTTTTCTAGTAGAATAATAAATGCGATTAGAGATAAAAGTAAACTTATACATAATTATTCATTTAAATTATGCTGCTTATAATTTGTTTAGAATTTCATGTTTTGAAACTATCAATGATTTAAATTTATTAAGACATATTAATTTTCTGAAATCCGTCATTAATGATTTTACTCAAGAAATTTTCAGGATTTTTGACTCACAATCACCCCTGATTTATCGAATATAGCGATTGTAGTTGGCGAGACAGATCAGATCACGATACGGAAATACTATATCCATTTCACTTTTTTGCCTATTATGTCATAATTCCGGAGTTGAAAAAAAAATCGATTTTTCTTTTCTTTTCTTTTTTTTTATTGCAGACGCATAAAATTCGTTTACGATAATTCCATGTAAAAATTAATTTCAAATTATTTATTTTTTATTATTTTATTTAATAATAGTTAAAATTTCACATCTTCTGAAACACTTAAATTTATAAGAAAAAGAATTTTAAAAACGTGAGTGAAAAATGTTCCGTTTGGTTTTAAAATAGTTTTCTACTTTTTTTATTACTTTTAAGGATTGTGCATTTATTTATTTATTTTTCTATTTTAAGGAAGAAGATGAGGATTCTTCTGTTGAAGAGCAAAAGTAAGTAAGCTTTTACTTATTGTGTTTAGAATTTTTACTTCCTCATTTAGAATCAAATTTAAAATACTTTTTTAATACTATAACTCAATTTTTTTTCACCCAACAATAAATAAAATATTAAAGAAAGATTTATGTTTTATTTTGTCAAGTTTTGTAAAAAATATTTTTGTGAAAGGAATATTTTGAGGAAAAAAGAAAATTATTTTTGAAAACATTGAAAAATATTTTATGTTTAATATTAAAAATGTTAAAAAATAGGAAGTGATTTTTATTAAATATTTAAAAAAATAAAAAAAAGTGTTTTGAAGGACATTTTGTCAATACGTAAATCGCAACAAAATAATTACCTGAATTTGAAAAATAGTCAATCGATATTTGATAGAAAAACCAAAATCTTTGCTTTTTACCTCTGTTTTATACATTTTTTTCTTCTTTTTAAAAATTTCATTGTAAATGTTTAGTTTTATATCTGGTAATATTTACTACTTTTGGAATCAACTTAATTTCGATCGTGTCAGCGAGAGATCCAGACAAATAAAGAAGATTTCTTTTTTTTTTTATTAGAATAGATAAATTGTCACTCCTTTAAAAAAAAGTATTTAAAATTTCGTTATTTTTTGGAGAAATTGCATACTTGGAAGCAACTTGTTATAAGTTAAAAAATAAAAATTCGAACGATTATTTTTTTTTCGTCTGCGTTGCAACATTTTTCTATACTTTCTTTATTAAGTCATATTCTTGTCATTTCAGTGGCAGGAAAATTCCAAGTGACATTCAGACATTATCTTCAGTCTGATATTCCAAAATGCCTTAAATTGTTACTTTAATATCTTCTCTCATTTAGTTTTTAAATTGAGATCTCTACCTTCATCACATTATAAAAGAGTCTCAATTGCTCTTTTGGTCTAAAGATGTTTAGTTTAATCTTTGCATATAAATACGTGACCATAGGCGAGCGCAAGTAAATATTCGTTATATTTAAAATTGACAACTGAAATTTTGTGAGTTTTGTCACTTTATGCGTATTGATATCCTTAAACTACGTTACTGATTTAGTACCCACGATTTTTATATAAATTTTTTTTGTTCTTTCAGCATCCGGCCTGTGTGCAAACGGCGCAGATTGAGTTCTTCTAGCAAAACATCTGCTAATGTAAGTTCATTCTTCTATCTAATAACTTATATTATTTTCTGTTCTGTTTAGCCTCTTTTTTGTAGATTTATAGTTAAAAAAACAATCTTAGCATTAAGTTTTATATTCTAAAAAAAATACAAATAAAAAATTAAATTATGAACTTTCAAAAATTCAATGTTTTTTAATGTGTACAAAATTTTTTATATAAAAAAAAAATTATGAAACTTTAAAATAACACAGTATTCATTTTTAAAGGATTAAATTGAAATACAACATTATGTGAAATAAATATTGTTACCATGTCTAAACAAAATAATATATTGTTTTAAAGAAAAGTTCGTTTAATATTCGACACATTTTTCCCGTTCACGCACTCGTATTCTGGTACTTTTCCCTTCTGGACAGACTGGCGCCTTTCAACGAGGAAATTAATTGGTTTTGAGGATGAGAGAGAAGATGCAAATAAATATTTTCGAGTGGTAGTTAATTAATGTGTCAATCTTGGTTTATTAAATTCAATTTATTAGGTTTTTGTCCACTACTATTTCTAAATAATTCAAAGGCTTATATAATTCGACACTTCTTTTCATCTAGGTCATGCGACACCGTTTAAAAAGTAAACAAAATTATAAAATAGTTGTAAATTTTGGTTATTTAACGTTTTTTTAAATTATTATGGCGCGTCCGGAGCAGTTGGCATCTCTGTATATATAGGAAGGAAAAAAAACTACAAACATCAAAGTGAACGTGCCTTATTTTTGTAATAAAAAAATGTGTTACTCTTGTAATAATGTGTGGGAAATTTTCCTAGCTAAAAACTACGATACTAGCTAACAATAATAAAATATCAATAAAATATCAATTAACAATAATAAAAAACGAAAAATAAAATATGAAATTTAAAACATATACAGGGTGGCCACCCACCTGGAAAACCTTGAAAACCTGGAATTATCAGGGAATTTTTTTATACTGGAAAAAACCTGGAAATATCAGGGAAATTTGGATAAAAACCTGGAAAAATCAGGGAATTTTAAAGAAAAGCTGGAAATTTTTCTTTGATAATTTTTTTAATTTCACTAATTTAAATTATTTGCTAATTTTCTTAATTTAAATTATTTCATCCATTATACCCACTTTTTTTTAACGGAAATGTATCGCCAAACAGTTGAAATATCATCAACTTAGCAATACTTTGCTTGCATCAAAATTTGCTCCATTACAGCTGTTAAACTAGAATGCCACATAAAATTCTCCTACTGTTGCTAAACGAATGCAGAAACCTTTGACCGCTATGGGACTGTGCAATTTAGGAAAGATTCTGGTGTAGGTGGAAAAAGATTTAGGATATTAGCTTCTATTTTTAAATACTGTCTTTGGGCTGAATCCATTTATGGCTCAAGTTTGTTCCGATGCTTTGGTGGTTATTTTTTTTCTCGATTTTGACAAAATGTTTTTGTATTTTTAACTTTATAAAATTCTCCAAAAATTAGTTGGTTAAATTTTATGATAATAGATTTTATATCGCACTCTTTTTCTTTTTCTACTCCCATTCAAAGAAATCTGTGAATTATTTTTTCTGAGCAAACCAACGAATCACACATTTTTTTACAATCGCTAACAGCAATGTTTGTCGACAAATTGTTACAATTGTTGCATTAATGGCAATTTTTTCTATTTCATTTTAACCTCTTATAACATATTTTAATTTTAAAAAAAGGCTCCTTTGTTGGTCAATATATGATTTTTGATTCAAAATTTTGTACCAAAACATTAAAAAATAAATAAAAAATCTTGAAAATTTTCAAAATAAATTATTTTTTTCAAGTATGATATGTTAAAAAAGTAACATTTTGAATAAAATATTTTATAATATAGACACTTTTCTTGTACACATCCTATACTTTATAAGAAAAAAGAAACAAAAACCTGGAAGTTTTAAGATTTTTATCTGGAAAACCTGGAAAAATCAGGGAAATTTGAAATCTGATTTGAGTGGCCACCCATAAGTTTTAATTTTCTGTAAAACCTCTGTTCCTTTTTCTATGCATATAAACTTCAATAGCTTTATAATGAGGTTACTTATTCTGTAATTGAATACATTAGGGAAGAAATCTAATTGTAGTATAGTTTGTTCCTGTGTAGCAGCAAAAGAGGAACTTCTTAAATTCTATTTGACTAAAGACAAAGAAAAAAAAACTACAATCGGAATCAATAAGACAAATAATTGGTGAAGACTTTCAGTTTTAATTTTATTTTTTTAATTTAAAAAAAATAAATAATTCAAATGAATAAATTGTAAGAAAGAGTAATAAATGATTGAAAACTTTTACTGAATGACGCTAAATTCCTCAACCTCCGTTACTATTATGTAAAATAAATAAAATAAGAATTTTTCAATTGTAGAATAAGAAATACCCTGAAAATCCAAATTTCTCAAAAAATGCTTATGAAAAATATCTTGACCTCTTGAAAATAACTCCCAGGTTAATAATAAAAAAAAATATGAATTTTAATGAAATTGAAGACCATGCAAAATCTGACTATAAAATGAATTCTCGTAATCTCTTCGAGAACTAGAGTTAGGGAAAAGTATAATTCGAAAATAATAATAATAAAAGAGATTTTCGCCAAGATCTGAAATGGATAATCATCAGGGTGGGCCCTATTGTAAATGAACGATTTTTTGATATCTTTTGAATTTGCAAAGGAGACTTTTTGGCCTTTCAATGTAGAAATTTATACAATTATGTAGTTCACGTTTATTAGTATTTTCGCAAGCTAAACTGATAGTTTTTTTTTATGTACAGGAGAAACAAATGGCATTAAAAATATTATGTGAATCATGCACTCCTGAAAATAATAGTGGCCTTTTTTTTATATCTCGAATGAGTTTAAGAGTTTTAAAGTTAGTTTCATGTTTTTTTTTTCTTCGATGAAACTCATTTAAAACCTGAAATAACATCACTAGTCATATTTTTAACGATATCATTTTGATAGGCCTGATTTTATCCAATAAAATTTTTCTTAAGGTTTATTATAATATATTGCTCGATACGTGTTAATATATGTAGACTATCTGCAGCATTTATTTCCGATGACGATACATTTAAAATTTAGCGTAGAAGAAATCAAACTATAAAAAACTGGGGTTATTAGGTATTAGTGAAAAAGGTGAATTGGAACAATTCCGAGAGTAGTTCCGGGTAAGCAGAAGGATGAACTCTCAATTTGCTAAAAATACAGTATAGAATCTGTGAAGAATCTTAACTAATTTAAAAGGCTTTGTTTAAATTATTCCGTCACGATCAGTGAAAAATATAAATTATTAAACTATTAAAACTTATTAAACTATTAAAAATAAATCCCCTAAAGTTATTTTATCTAATTTAGTTGATAAGTTTTTGAATAATATAATTAAAACAGGAGATCTAGATGAAATACCTCACACCATAATGATTCTAAATGGCAATATTAAAAAAGGAAAAAACTATATTATCTCTTTAGTGTGTGTACAAGTGATGCTGTGAGTACTACATTCTTTAGACAAAACGCAGAAGCGTATTTTTCTTAAAAACAAAAACATAATCAATTGAATCAAGAAAAATTCCAATAGTAATAAAATGGGCCGGGATAGCCTGGTTGGTAGGGTACTGGGCCCCTGTCAAAAAGGTCGCGTGTTCGACCTCCGCCGGCCGAAGACTCTTCATGTAGTAAATGGTGACTGACGCACGTTAAATCTGCCCGGTCATAAAGTCCTCCAAATCATAAATCTGGGAATACTGATCCAGGAGTTACCTTATCTTCTGTATTGGTTCAAAATTACAAATTACAACTCAGAATTTTTTTACTCTGTTCTGTTTAGATACTCAAGCATTAATAGGCTCCCTTTTTGCTGCTATTTTAATTTTCCGGTATTAAATATTTCGGAACTTATTTAGTTTATTATTATATGTGGAACATCACGAATCGCCAATAAGATTGAGAATCAGTAACTGAAACATATTTATAGTAATAATTAAGAGTTATAAATAGATTTTTTTTTCGATTAGGCGTGACAGTGAATTAATGAGTCTACATTAACATTGAAATAAAAAGTTGATCGATAAGAAAAAAACAAAATATTTTATGTTCGCTTTTAATAAAAAACTAACTAATTTATTTAATTTAAATATAATTTTATTAATAATGATTCGAGTTTAAGTTATTAAAGAAATTTTAAAAAGTCTAGGAAATATGCAGGGGTCTGTCCAGACATTTTGTGAAAGGTCCGTTTTTCGTGAAATTGTGCAAAAATTACTCACATTCTTTCAACCAGGGTCCGCTTTTATGAATTTGTGCAAATAGGGTCCGTTATTGCAAAAAAAATTTTTTTTAAGGAGTTTTAAAATTGTATAGACATACAAGATTATGCTCAACACTGTAAAATT